AGGGTTAAGAGATGCAGATGCATTGTACTATATGGGATCTCTGTACACTATGTGGGATCTCTGTACATCTTGTATGTATGTGATCCTACTTGCAATGGGTGCATTAACATGCTGGATTAGGACTAGCTTTAGGCAGCCTGGTAGTTTTGGCACAGGTTCACCATGTTCTGTTTGTGCAGTACACTATTGTAAATTATTATATAAATGTTCTCACCCTTTCGTGTTTCCATGTCTTTCCAGTAAAATGGCTGAAATCAGCAGATCGGTTCATATTAATGGATGAACATGATTAATGTGTATAGGTATATATTTGGAGAACCTCATTCGTTGGTGTTTATTTTCATTTTTTAAAATCACCTAGCTGACGATCTGAATGGAATTGTGACTAGGGATGCACCGATACCAATACTATTATCGGTGCCGATACAGAGTATTTGGGCAAGTACTCGTACTCGCCCAAATGCTCCGATACCTTTCCCGATACTAGAACTTCCGGTCAGAGGAAGATTTCCTTCGATTGGCAGTGCCGCGAGGAAAGATGGAGCCAGAAAGCTGGCTCCATGATGTTTGGCTGGCTTGATGCTGATTGGCCGGGAAGCCGGCTTCCCAGGCAATCAGTGTCGAGCCGGGCAAACAAATCTGATAATATAGCGACACGACCCCCACCCTGCAGGTACCTAATTCCCCTCACATAGATCCTTAGCATTCAGTTCCTTGGCCAGATCTGCCGTCTCCTGTGTGCACACTGCACAACGCTCACGTGATCAGCGTTCAGCCTGCTACTGTGCATGCACAGGATTTCTGAATGAGAGCACTGGGCAGTCTGCGCATGCACAGTAGCAGGCTGAGCGCCGATCACGTGGGCGCTGTACACAGGTCTGGAGAGCGGCGTCTGCCCACTTGGAGAGCGCTGGCCGAGGGACTGGTACGTTAATGAATGCGATACGGATCTATGTGAGGGGAATTAGGTGTCGGGTCGTGTCAGATCTGTTTGGCCGGCCTCAATGCCGATTGACTGGGAAGCCGGCTTCCCGGCAAAACAGAATGGAGTCGGCTTCCCGGGCAATCAAGAAGCCTTCCTGGTTTCCTGATTGCCCGGGAAGACGGCTCTATGCTACCGGAAGTGCCGGTATCGGTACTTGGTATCGACGAGTACCGAAATATAAGTATCGGTACTCGTACTCGATACCGAAAAACCGGTATCGGTGCATCCCTAATTGTGACCATTTTAAACCCTTGCTGTGGTTTGGTGTTTTTCTCCTTCTTGTAGTCTTATTTCAAAGCTGGAAAGTAGTTAGCAGTTGTGTAATTGGAGGTTCCAAGCTAGCTGGTGCATGTGATGGAGCAAAGCTATTTCTTCTAGCCCTATCATTGTGTATTAGGTAAACACCAGTGACTCTGGATCTTTGGGTCCTGGGAAATCTCATCAACATAGCAGGCATCCACACAAGGCACTGCTACAAATGCCCAAGATGGTTTCAGGGGGATGGGGATGTATACAAATCAGATGATGATGAATTATTTGCATTATTTTCATAGCGTTGATGTATGTTATAGAGCACTTACTCTAAAGCAGGGCTCAAAATCTCCACTCGCCCCCTCGCAATTTGCGAGTGAAAATTGCGAGGGGGCGAGTGGAAATGAAGCCATTGAGTCAGACACTCAATCGAGTTGGGCACTCAGTCGAGTGCCCAACTCCCAGAGGGATTTTAGATGACTTGCTGCTCACAGCCGTGCATCTTCCCATATTAAAGATGGCCGCATGACGGCAGCCATCTTTACTAAGGTCCGTTCTTGTATCCTAGCGACAGCATAACTTCCTGTCTGTGCACCGAGGATTATGGGAGCTGTAGTTTCACTTTTACAGCGCCACCATGACAGCAGTGGGTGAGTGTGTCACGTAAGGGGTATTGGGTTAGGTTTTATTGCTGCGGTTTGTCTTGTGGTCTGTCTCTGTGTTCTATCATCCCATCGGACCCGTAACTTTAATTTGATCTGATAAAGTCACGGGTCCAATGAAATGACAGAACACTGTAACTTCCCGGACGTCACAATACAGGAGAAGCCCTGGGGTGGACTGGCAGACCACGGGAGGGGCCCCAACAGCTTACTGTGCCGCATGTCCCCTTCATGCAGCCTGAGCTGCAATAGCTATGCATGGGACCAGAGTTAATCCCAAGTGTCAGGCAGGTAATTGAGGGGGACATTGAGATGGGTCGGGGTGCCATGTGTGTGTTGTGGCTGTATGTGTAATGCTCTGTGCATTGTGCTGTGGCTGTATGCGTAATGTCCTGTGCGTTGTGCTGTGGCGGTATGTATAATGCTCTACGCATACATCCATAGCACAATGCACAATGTCCTATGTCCCTGCCAGCAGGTAATTTTGAGCCCTGCTCTAGAGTATTTACATTTATTTGCATCTGCTCTACCGCCTGGAGTCAGTGGTAGAACTACCAGGGGCGCAGCTTTTGGCAGCTGTGACCAGGCTTTAGTCACATGGTCACCATTATCCTAAAGTCATTAGTCTGTAGAAAAACTGTCACATGACACTGAAAAAAGGTAATGGTAATTGGTATACATGTGCTCGGTCTGAAAAATATGGTATTGGTGCATCTCCAATGTTTTGGTTATATGTAGATGGTAGCTACATCTTTGGTTATACCCAATGGTTTAATAAAATGTTTGTAATGTTAACAAAACAACAACAAAAAAAACCTGTTTTGCAGATGTGTGCTCGTGAGGGATTCTTTTCAGGGGGTTGAATAATTTTAAGACTGCAGAAGTCTTTAAAAGTTGAATTTTCAGTTGGATTTGGGGAAAACCACTTGAAACATTCCATGTGTTGACCTATTCCAATTGCTTTTGTTTGATTTGTTTGTTGCAAACAACCGAAAGTTTTTGTAAATGTTGCCAATAAACCTGATTTGCAATGAGGGTTGAATAATTTTGATAAAACTTTATCTGCCGGCAAACATTCACACAGACTCTTCAACAATCTTGTCCACTGAATATGGATTATCAGCCTTTTTTACATAGCTACCTGGGACTCTTGAGATCAGTGGCAAAGCTATTGCCATAGCAGCCCACATGAATGCTATGGGCCTGAGGCAGGGGTGTAGAGATAAAAAGTGGTTAGCAATGGTCTGGTGGAATAAAGGCGAAGTGGTGTACAGGGGGTGCAGATGTTAGCAGTGGTGGTATAACAATAAAATAACAGTGAAGTGGTATAAAGGTGGCAAGCAATGGCGGTGCAGATGTTAGCAGTGGTGGAATAGGGAGTGCATGGGTGGAACTGGGTGAACAATGGGGGTGCAGAGGTCAGCAGGGGTGCAACGGGGTACAGTAGTGCAAAAGTGATACAAAAGTAATTGGTGGTCGAGAGGTTCAAAAGTGAGTTGTTGGTGAGTGGTGGATGAAGGGTGCAGAGGTGAAAGGTGGGCAAGGGGTGCAGGGGTTGCATAATTGTTCAGTGGACATGCCTCTTAGCAGCCCACACAGCTAAAACTGCACCTGCTGGTGGGAAAGGGCACAGAAGGAATCTTTAGAATCTTAGTCACAGATCTCTTTTCCAGGTTGCGCAGAAAGTAGAATTTGTTCATCTGTCTTTGTCTTGTAGATTTTGGCCCTCAGAGCTTCTGGTTATCCCAGAGCTTCTGCTCACCCCAGCCAGCACTCAAATCAAATAAGCTGTTAGAAATCTGCTAGATAATATAAAATATTGGGATAATCATTATTATTGCTGCTACAGTTCTCCTGCTACCTGTTCTTGATTTAGACCTTTGTGTGAAGATCAATGACAGTAGGGAGGTCCCATCAAAATGTTGCTATTACTTGTAGCTACACCCCTGCTTGAGATGGATACCTTTCCTAGTGAACACCTCTTCCTAGTCTACTAAGGTGTAAAACCCCCTTCCCAATATTTTGGGGAGTAAATATACCCATCCCTCCCATAACGTTTATTTTTAAATCGTTTTTCTTTTTGGTCCAATTCACCCCTTAGCGACTTATACCCCTGACCTGACCCATATGTTCTAATAAACAGAATGGGGGGAATTAATCAACACTGGAGAAGACAAAATCTGGAGCAGCTGTGCATGAAAATGAAAGAGAAAAGCTGATTGGTTGCCATACACAGATTTGATCAACTCCTTCATAGTGTTCTACATGTGTTAGTGAGAATGGAAAACCCTTTTGGTAATTTAACCACCTGCTGTCCGGCCGTTTCATTACAAAGACCGGACAGTGGCTTCTTGGAATGCGGGTGGGCATTTTTAGAAGTCCCATCCCGCCCCGCTTGTATGTAAACAGTAAAAGCTTTTAAAGCGTCGCCTATGGCAAATTTTGGTTATGGTAGTTTTTTTGCGAGTTCGCAGGCGTACGCAATTTTAAAGCTTGACATGTTTGGTGTCTATTTACCGGACGTGACCCCATCTTTTATATTTTACCAAAAATTTGGGTAATAATAAATGTTTTATAATATAACATAGGGAAAACAGGAAAACTTTTTAAAATAAAATTTTCAGTACATTTTTCATTATATAGTAAAAAGTTAAAACCCCAGTGGTGATTAAATACCAACAAAAAAAAAGCTCCATCTGTCCCCAAAAAATGGTATAAAATCCATTTGAGTACAGCGTTGCATGACGGAATAAACGTCAGTCAAAGTACTGCAATACTGAAAAATGGCCTGGAGAGCAAATGGTTAAATTGCAGTGAGAAAAGATCAACAAAATATGGTAAATGTATTGTTTGTACAATATAACATGGGAACAACTTGTTACTTTTGCTGTTCACTCTGTAAACCAAATAAAAGACATAATGAACAAAGACTAGGCTTTCAGACAATTTCATATATGTGGTATGTTCTTTAATAAAAGTAAATATGTTTTAGAACTGTGTAAATTTAAGAACCACCAGATACATTTGTCATGCTCCATAGACTAGATTGACCTTTTTATATAAAGGATAAGCTGCGTTTAATACTTTTCAGTACGGTCCAGTAAGTTACCACGTACTGCACTGCAAGCCCTGCTTGTTAGCAACTTTGGAAAAATGCTCAACATTTCATTAGGTTCTAGACTGCAGAGGGAGTCTCATTCCTAGTTCACTCAGATGCCTTGACTCAGACTGTTTGCTTCTTCTGTTGATGTATTCCAGCGTTTTAACCTATCAAAAATAAATTTAGGTATATTGTGATTCATATATAGGCAATATATGCATTATAAGAAATATAACCAGGATGAGAAGCAACAACCCTTCCTAATTCTAATAAAAATGTGTTTTGTTTTTTGTTTGTGTCCCAAATGGAGGGCATCCCTATCACTTCCTGCCCTGACAGGAAGTAAGGGATAATCTCCTCAAAAAGAACACAAAAAGCAAAATAAGCATGACAGATTCTAATATTTTACCACTTTCTAAAAAAACAAATATAAAATTTTAACTAACTGCAGCAAAAACTTCCTTTTCTTTAGATTCACCCGGACAAAATGTCAGAGCAAAAAACACGCAAACACCTTTTACATTTTTTAAAACTTTGAATTGGGGTATTTTGCCATTACTTCCAGTTCTATGGATACTTTTTCACCCAGACTTCAAGAGAAATCACCCTAATAGGGACACAGACAGCATTACAAACCTTAAAATAGTTCTTACCTTTCACTATACTATAAAAGATGTGGTTGGAACTTGGCTTTAATGAGAGACAAGGTAAGTTACAAATTTGCTTTATCCTTTAATACTAAGAAACTAAGGATAGTTATACTGTGCTAAAGGACACTAGCAGATTCAGAAACAACTGGGTAATATGCAGGTATCATCAAGTGATTGGACACGGGGCGTGGCCTAGCTATGGCGGAGTGAGGTCGCAACTTGCCTGAGCTCTGCTACCAGCCCAGCATCTATCAGTCGATCTACATTAAACTACTTACCTAAGTCGATGTCCAAGAAGGGCAAATCTTCGGGTACCGACGGCGGACGGAATACCAGGGACCTTCATCACTTCTTTGCCTCCCCGGTGGCGGCAGAGATCTCATCCATCCTGCTCTCCCTCCCTACTAAACAGGACATGGCGGAGATGGTATCCATGATGGAAGCTGCCCTTAAAAGGGACATAGCGGGTGTATCATCCACGGTATCCCAGCTTGAAGACCGTGTATCCTCCCTCCACGCAGACCATGAAGGAGTATCCCGCAGGCTAGCAGCCCTGGAGTCCAGGGTCCTCCACCAAGATTCCCGCCTTGCGTCCCTGGCCTTGGCCCATGACGACTTGGAAAATCGTTCACGCCGCAACAACGTTAAGTTGCGAGGCATCCCAGAAACGACACCCGCTGATCTGCGACCGGTGGTCTCGGGAATCCTCAACGCCATACTGGACAAGTCCCCAGATGCACCCCTGGAAATTGACCGTGTGCACCGGGTGGGAGCCCCCCGCACTGACGGGGACCCCCGACCTCGTGACGTACTATGCCGTATACACTACTTCACGGTGAAGGACGCCATCATCCGCCAAGCCTGGCGTAAGGGCCCGATCGCGTTTGAAAGGACAGAGGTCACGCTTTTACCGGATCTATCTAGACGCACCCTGCAAATGCGCAGGCTGTTGCAACCGCTTCTCACTGAGATCCGCCGAGCTGGTGCTCTCTACTCCTGGGGTTACCCCTTCTGCTTGAACATCCGCAGAAGCGGGGAGACGTTCATCTTGCGGCACCCTGATCAACTACCGGACTTATTCCTGTTCTTGGATTGGCTTCAACCGGGCCTCCCAGACGTATCCCGTCCAATGCCAAAATGCAATAGATGTCGAGTCAACTCAAGAAGCTCCTCACGGCCCCGCACTCGGGACACCCGCGTTCCCACACCAGCTCTACCCAACGCAGTCAAAGACCCCACCTCTCGAGAACTGTGATGACCACCGCTGACACCCTTATCCGCACGACCTGAGGGAATGATCTCTTCCGCTGGGGACTGTGGACTCTCCCTCCCAACGGGGCCTAGTCGGCTCTACTACACCGGACAATGGGTTTGCCCGCTCCTCTCCGGCCACCTTAGATGAGACTTCTCTGGGTGATGTATACTTACCCACGTTAGCAGTTAACAGGTTTAAATGTTTGATGCACTCCGGGTGGGGCTGACTTAGTCACCAGAATACCCATACCACTGTGTCCCCCCCCCTTACTGAGAGTGACCGTGAGAACCCATACATGAACCCAGTTTTTAGGGAACGGCCTCTCTAACTTTGCCCGCGGGTCTTCCCCCAGCACTACGTTAGCGCATCGGGCTTCTTGCTTTGACAACCTGAGCCACACCACACCCCACCGGGCCAACTCGTTTGCACTCTATACCCAGAGACGACCTCCTGACACAGGCACCTTGGGGTGATGGGAACACTTGACGGAATCTACCTGTAGCGCTGCCCACACTTACAGCACAGATCTAGGGGGTGAGCCGGGGCGACTTAACCCCATAGCAGTGGGACAGGGGAGATACCTCACACACCTGATGCCCAACACCCCTGACTGCCCACAGACCCTATCCGTCCACCAGTTATCCACTCACACGGGCACCCTGGAATTCTCAGCTACCACTATTTTGAGGGGACCAGACCCGTTCATACCATCCCCCCTGATGTAGCCACCCACACAGGTGTAAGCAGAGTAGCCTCGCCATCCCCAGCGAACAATTTCCACCCATTCCCGCCGAGGTCACCACTCCGGACCCGAGATGACAGCTTAACGCTGACTTGACATTGCTCTCAACATTGTTATGCCTTCTATGTTTTGATAAGGTAGTTAATGCTATTACGTGTTAATACCGGATCCTGCGGCTGCAGCATCTCTGTTTAGTAGACTCACTTCCGGGAAAACCAAGTACCCCGCATGGAAACCCGTAGATACCCGACAGTTTACCACAGTGCCTCACCAGATAAGAGATCTAGGGGGTTAGTATCCTCATATCCCGAGAGACCCCGTGGCTGTTGATGGAACAGTACAGCGGGGAAGAAGGCCGGGTCATATTCTTAAAGGGAACCATAGGCTCACAAGTAATGACACTCGCCAACGTATACGTGCCTAACCAAAACCAAATTACGTTTGTGGAACGGGTTCTGGCCCGTCTGCCAGAGTTTCGGGAAGGACTCCTCGTTTTAGGGGGTGATTTTAACCTCATCCTTGATCCACACCTGGACTCCTCCAGATCCTCCTCCCATCTCTCATTTGCTGCCCTTAAACGACTTAAAAAATGCCTCCACTCCCATCAATTGATAGACGCCTGGCGCATACAACACCCCTCTACCAGGGATTACACCTTCTCCCACCTACACCAAAGTTACACATGCATCGATTACCTCTTCACGCATCACAGCCAACTAGCGAAAGTCCGCCACACTGAAATAGGCAACATCACCCTCTCGGATCACGCCCCTGTGCTTCTTACCTTGGCCCTAGATGCTCCCCCACCAGGGCCCTGGTAGTGGAAGCTGAATGACACTCTTCTCCAGGACCCTGGCTTTGCTGCCTCACTGGAGAGGGACCTCTCACTATTCTTCGCAGAAAATGCCTCGGCAGATATCTCACCTGGCATCATCTGGGAGGCACACAAAGCGACGATCCGGGGGGTGCTCATTGCCCAGGGCTCTAGCGTTAAGAAATAGAGGTTGAAGGACATAAATGATCTCCTATCACGGATCCACTCCCTCGAGACCCGCCACAAGCGCTTGGTAGACTCAACTACCGGCGCCTCATTGTGCGCAGCAAGAGAACAACTGCGCGCTTTATGCCTATTCAAGACCAAAGCTTCACTTCTTAAATGCAGGCGCTCTTTTTACGAGTATGGCAATCAATGCGGGAAGTACCTTGCAAGAGCCCTGCACAAGCAGCACACCCGTACGTTTGTCCCGTCCATTACCTCCTCCCGCGGAACTAAACTCACCCTCCCATCGGCAATCGCAGACGCCTTCACGGACTACTACATGGACTTATATAACCTCCCTCCCACTCCCATACCCCGAGATTCCCCCTCACACTCCTCACGCATAACGCGCTACATCCACCTATCTGGCATGCCCTCCCTCCCGACTGCAGTCGGGTCCCTACTGGAATCGCCGATTACCGCGCCGGAACTCGAAGCTGCTCTGAAGCTTATCCAATTGGGTAAAGCACCGGGCCCAGATGGCTTCACGCTCCCGTACTATAAACGCTATCTACATGTTCTCTCGACTCCATTCTTAGCAGTACTCAACTCCCTACCCCAGGGCAGCTCCTTTCCTCCTGAGTCACTTACAGCTCATATCACAGTCATACCCAAAGACGGAAAGGACCGCTCGCTCTGCCCCAGTTATAGGCCGATCTCCCTCCTCAATGCTGACACCAAACTCTTCGCTAAAATTCTCTTCCCTCGCATAGTGCCCCATTTAGGGGAGCTTATACACCCGGACCAATCAGGGTTTGTACCCTCACGGGAAGCAAGGGACAACACCACACGGGCACTAGGCTTGATCCATTCTGCCAGGGCGAAGGCCTCACCATGCGTACTTCTATCCACAGACGCGGAAAAGGCTTTCGACCGGGTAGATTGGGAGTTCCTCCGCTGCACATTGGAGACAGTAGGTGTGGGACCCCACATGCGCTCGTGAATCGACTCCCTTTACTCTGCCCCATCAGCAAGGGTACGGGTAAATGGCAATCTCTCATCCGTCTTCCCAATTTCAAGCGGCACTCGCCAGGGATGCCCCCTCTCCCCACTACTATTCGTCCTGACCTTGGAGCCCTTCCTGCGCACCATACGAGCCAACCCCGACATCCGTGGCATAGTGACGGGACCCACACACCATAAAAGCGCCGCATTTGCGGACGACCTCCTCTTCTTCCTGTCTTCCCCTGATATCCCCATCCCGGTACTCCTCCGAGAATTTAAATTGTACGGTTCGCTCTCCAACTTTAAAATTAACTCCGCCAAATCAGAAGCCCTTCATATCTCCTTGTCGGAACCCCGTCTCCAGAGAGTTCTCCATAACTTCCCCATTAAATGGGCTCCTGTCGCAATTAAATACCTAGGAATACATCTCCCTTCAGACCCGGCCCTAACATACGATTTGAACTTCCCACCGCTCCTGACCCGCATCAGCGCATACCTAAAATTACGGACCAAGAATACGTTCTCCTGAATGGGCC